GGAGGGGGCCCCCCCCCCCCCCCCCCCCCTCCGCGTGCTAGCCCCCGCTAACGTCACCGCGCGCGAGGCGCTCCCGCTCACCTTGAGCCGCGCCTCGAGCGCGCCCGTCACCTTCGTTACGGGGCGAAGAGTCGGCCCCGCCCCTCGGCGCGCATGCGCGCAGCCCTGAACACAGGGACGCGCTGCGAGCCCCCCCCCTTAAAGGAGCCGTGCCCCAAGCCCGGCCCTCTGGAGGTGGGAAAGGCTGTAGTGGAGGTCGGATGGTGAGGGCCATCGTCGGGGGTGGGTTTCCAGTTCTACACACACCTCCTTCCATTTCTCGGGGAGCGGCCGGTAGGGCTGTGGGCCGGGGTCTCGCGCCTTCCCGTGTGGGCGAGGTGATGGCGGCCTCATCTCCTGAGGCGGTAGCGTGAGGCACCTCCAGCTCCTGAGGGATTTGTCTTTGAGAGGGAGGGTAACGCTGGGAGATACTTGCTCCTTGCGTGTTCTAGCTGGTGAAATTTTGTTAATTGACGCAATATAAGGCTGAATCCTGCTTTAGCAGGGGAGCTGGACTAAATGATCTGTAGAAGTCCCAACTCTGACAATTCAGTGATTACAGCCATTTTTAAAATTCCTCTGAAGTCACTATTGTGTACAATATATATTTATTATATACATACATCCTTTTGCTATGTTCTAGTACAGCTGAAGAGACATCTTTACGTAGGAGGCTGAGTAACTGAAGAGCCAGAGCCTTCCTGGGATGGAGCTCAGCTCCTGGTGATGCCTGACTGGATTACTCTGTGTATTCGCCCTGTGTTGTAGTGACTCAACGTGCTGGAAAGGCAAACAGGTCTGTGAAGTGGCCACTGAGTTGGTGGAAACTACTGCGGGGTTTTAACTGACCACTTAAAAGACTGGAGAAGCTTTCCAGACTAATGATTCAGATGACTTTGTGCTTTGTCTCTCACATAAAGGCAGGTAAAGCCTTTTTGTTGTAGCTTTATCCATAGCCTTTCAGTACATGTTGAAAGGAAAGATATATGTTTGTGCCACCATAATATATAAAACTTTGCATTTCACATTAGTTGAAATAACCTCATTGGAACTGGGATGGTCTGGAGGAAGGAAATTGAGTTATCTTAATAAGGGGATTCATACCTCCATATTTCTTTTTCTCCAACTTGTATCAGTTGATCTAATGAAAGGTCAGTATCTTACTAGTGTAACACACTGTAAGGAAGTCTTCAGGGTTGAAGCTGTCCCCACAGGTTCAAATGGGCATATCTTGTACGTAGAAGACCTGCATTAAAATGCATGAATCCTGACTTGCCTCATACTTATGCAAGAAAAGAACAGCACAATTATTACAGAAATAATTGTCTCAGAAACCGAGGTTACATGTCATTATATGAGCAAACAGGAAAAGATTATGAAGTACGTTAATGGAGAACTCCCTGTTAATTTAGAAGTAGTGTATCTCAATGACTAGTAATAATTGAAAGAAAAGTGGGGAAAAGGTATGCTCTACATGGGAATATCAGCCTATTTTTTTTTCCATGTATTATATAAAGAGAATACATGTCAGATACTTAATAAAAAGTATCAAAAAAACCCAAACCCACCACATTAAATGGTCTTTTAAAATGTCTGTACAACCCCACTTGCTTAGAATAGGGTGGCTTGCTTTCCTCCACAAACAAGGTTATCCTGAAAGGTGGTTACAGCAATCATCTGCAGTTTACGGTTTTAACCCTTATATTCACACACCCCACATTGGTTCTTTTGTTAAGTACTTGTTAAACTATTATGAAATAAGTTTAGGCATGAATTTAAAATGCAGTAGCTTTTCTACACTGGTTTACTTTATGGATACATATTCTACTCTAAGAACATCTTTTTGTGGTTCACTTAATCCACCTCAGACTAAGCTAAACTGCACAAAATCACCCTTCCTGTGAAATTGAACTGTCCATGCAAACAGGCCGTTGTGGAATAGTTGTTACATAACAGATATTAGGGGTTGTTACCACATATAAATAAGGCTAAATCAACCTGGGCGTCATCCTCTTAAAGTCAATCAGAGACAGGGCAGAGATGAAATCGGGGGATATGTGTTATGCTGGAAGATGGTTGTGGTCATTGTCAACAAAGCATTGTTGCCTACTCATATAGGGAATGTCATTCAATTAGGCCTTACTTCACTGAACAGATACTCTCCCTGATTCAAGGTTTTCTTTGACCAACATCAGGCAAATGTGAGAAAGCAAAAACACTTTTGGCTGCACAGTGGGATTAAAAGACTGGCCCATTTGCTGTTTCTAGAGCAAAAAGAGAGAGAGAGCAAAAAAAAAAGGCTTGTGGATACAGTCATTAGCTCTGAGAATCATGTAAACTTGGATGGAGTGTAAAAGTGAAACAGCTATCTGTTTCAGAGCGGTTAAAATCACATTGCCATCAATTTTAGTGGTCAATAACAATAATTAAAATAGAACTCAAAAATCAAATTCTGGAGGCTTTCTTTCTTTTTTTTCCTTTTAAGATTGAGTGACTGTTTAGCTGACTCCAAATCATCTTTTTCTTCCTGTTTCCCTGACCTTAATATGGAAACAATAAACCTTACATATCTATCTCTACTGAGGCATTCGTTTTTTAAGTACAAAGTAATCCTGTTTATTTTCCAAGATTTGCTGAGTTCATGGATCATATTAGTGAGAGTATGTAATAATAATTCACCTTTTACACATTTCAATGTTCATAGGTAATTGCCAAACTCAGCAGATGTGTGCCCTTTCTTTGTCTTTTTTTTTAAATTAATGTTACTATAGTAAGTAGTCTTTTCATATCTCTATAGATGAATAGTACAGATGTTGCTTACGTAATTGAAGTACAGCTGTGTTTTGGTCATCAAAATCCTCTGGGGTATGTATGAGCTCTCAATAACACCAGATTCTCTCCTTGTTCTCGGGTAACAAAATCAGTTCACTTGTCCTACAAATTGTAAAACAGTGTGTTAGGCTGCAGTATGAAAAATTATTGCAAAATCATCTGTAGTAGAATTGATGTTTCTGGTTTTCTAAACTGTTAGTTTACTAGTATTGTGTTGAGTTTCTTGCCCTCATTGCTGAGGCAGGAGAACAATGATGCAATGTCGGCTAACAGCCTGAGGTGCTGCTGAGTGCTATTTGAGCTAATCCACGTATCTTTGCATGAAATGTTCTTAGAATTTGCAGATGATTCATTCTGCCAGCTAAGCTGTGGATGCAGTAACTTCAGCAGAGGACAGTAACACATTAGGTCATTTGCAGTGACTGTCTGACTCAGTGTAAGTAATCCAATATACAAACTGAAAAATTTTAGCTTGAGACAGCTGCTGAGGTTGAACTGAGCTATTCAGCTGCCTTTATGTCAGAGTAACATACCATGCTGGAGAGTGCAGTTTAATGGTGATTTGTGAGCAGCTCAGCTCCCTGGAAAGGGTAGACAGCTGGGGAAAGCAAGTTATCATCCAACTCAGATTATGCCATCCACTTCTGCATTGTCTCTGCTTTGGCATTCATGCAGGTCCTGTTTTGTAAAAAAGAAGCAAACCTCACAACCTGTCCCTGATGGACTCAGCATTAGCTTGAGGCAGAGATATTTGTGGGAAAGTTTTGCAGGTGGCCACTTAGATGTCAATGAAACTAACGCCTGCTAATGCTAATTGCTAGCTAATCACAAAGTGGGCTTCACCTGTGCAGGTAAGCACACAGATAAGAAGCAATTGCTACTTTTTATGGTAACTGCTGCTTTCTGAAGTTTGGGAATGCCCCAAACCGACTTTCTTTGGCATTGTTTCATAAGTTTCCTCTGGATTCTGACTGGCCAAAGTGCATAGATGGGGTCTGGGTTTGCTCTGTCAGTTTTTGTGATGTTAAGGAAGCTTTGCTCTATAATTCGCTAGTAAAAGCTACTGGTTTTAATATGTGTTTACATGGAAGACTATCTATAGGACACATCTTGAAGAATCACATTCATTTTAAGGTAAATAACTTCTTTTGTTAGTAAATTAAAATATGTCAGTAACACACCTTGATATCTGACTTTTGTAAGGAAAACACAGGGTTGCAAGACTTTTACATAAAAGTTGTTGGCCCTGATCTTTAAGCATTTGATATTTTGTAAAACTTTTTAAATCCATGAAGAGTGAGCACACTATGTTATTATTTTAATCTGACAGTGATTACTACTACTTGATCATTATGAAGTTTTACTCATAATCTTGCTTGCTTTTCTGTCTGTGCCTTTTTTTTTATCCTTAAGAGAAGAAAATACTGAAGTGCTTGCTGCAGAGACTGATTTTCTTATTGTCTTTAGTTTGTTAGTGGTGGCTTCTTAAGCCTAATCAAAAAGGGTCGGGTGATGTTCTAATAACTTTTATGTTATTAAATGTGGTGAAGTTACAATTTGGTATAGCACTAATTTAATATTTATAAATGACCTGAGCATATTGTAGATTAAAACTATCCTCTCGCTATGCATCATCGTGTCAAGGTCACATCTTTCATTTTTTGCTGCAGAACAGTTGAGGAAATTAGGAACTTCTGGTTTAGAACCACACTGCTAGATATGTATACACATCTGTGGAGGAAATTTCTTTATTGCTCTGTGTGTCGTTTCCATTTAATGATATCTCCCAGTTATATAAAAAACGTGGTTCTACTAATAGTCCTTCAGAAATATGCAACTAGTGAGGTACTAATATAATTATGGTTTATATTTCATACTCTAGGATTCAGCCATATGTGTCTGTATCAGAACAAAAATATCTTGAATTTTCCCAATTTAATATAAAGCATCATCACTCATTTGTTGTAGACACCACTGGAAGGTTTAAATTTTAATTTTGGTGTCATGGCCTGTAGTTGTTGTACATGCTTTATAATGCATAATTATTCAAAACAGGAAAGATTGAAGGAGTTTTATATTCAGAATACTGATAACCTTGAAAGTATTTCTTATTGGCATTTTCTCCATTGTCTAAAAAACCTTGTGGGATTGGAAACAGAGTTGTTAAATGTAAGCAATTCCCTATTTTTTTCTTGTTTCAAAGCTTATGTTGAATGGAAATGTGCAATGTTTAGTGAAAAGGAAACTAAACTTGTTCTTTAGAAAGACATGAGGTTGTCATAAATGAAGCTGCATTATTT